GGAGGTTGCACCCCATCACCGGGCTGTGGGCTCCCAGAAGGCAGAGACTTCTTCACCAGCTGTGAGCTCATTTGGGACCCTCAGAAGGTGCTTATTAAGCATGTGGGCTGGATGTGGAACAGATGTGGAAATATTTAAATGCGAGAGAAGCCAATTTAGATGTGGTTATCATTAGCCTTTTGAAATTTCTTTTCCCTCAGTTAATTTGTAAATAAAGGTACTAAAACCTTTCTTCCCAAGCTTGATATTTTTGTAGACAAGACTTAGATAAGTGGTTGGATTATTTGTTTAGTCATATTTTTCCTATTCGGGGATCCTCATCACCTGCCTGAACCCCAAAACCGGAGGACCCAGTGCTTGGAGGCATTTATGCAGATTATAGAAATAGTGCTTGGGAAGAACTGTGCAAAGCCACTGCTTGTAAGTATGTTACCAATGCATAATGATGACACATCATACTTTGTAACTGGAACTCTCTCTCCCGCTGGCTCTAGAAACAGGGCATGTAAAGATTTCTGGTTTCTCCTTGATTTTGTATGTACCGTGGCTTTCAAGCATCCTGCATAGGAATTAGTCACCTGAAAACCAACATTTTAATATAGAAATGGAATGGCTATTTAAGAAAACTTGTATGAATTCTTTTGCAAACTAAATAATAGTTTTGCGATGTGAATAACTATCTCCTAATGAGTTTTTTTAAGGAAGTTTGTAATTTTTTTAAATTGCAATTTTCTAATGCCATTTAGACTGGTGGTACCTACTATGTGTTAGGAATGAAAAGCAAAGTATAGTTGAACTTTTACATTAGCATCTTGTTCTTGGAAATATGGAAGCATCATCAAAAAAAAAAAAACCTTTCAAACTATAGCCTGAAATGCCAGGGTGTCCGACAGCAGCCATTTGGATACAGGCCATCTCAGCCCAAAAGATAATCCAGATTGTGTTACATATGCTCTGAGTCAGTGAGCCATCCGCTGGGACTGGGAGAGCCAATAGCATGCAAACATCTGTATTGTTAGGGCGTTTATTATTAAAACATTTGAACTATTCAGATATTATTTCATAGGTACTTTATAATAATTTTTCATTTTCCGATTTGACCTATACAAACAGATACCTCAAGTGAGATTTTTTTAAAAATAAAAACAATTGTAGAGCTCTCTCCGTGGCAAAGCAAGATGTGACTGCCACCCTTTTCTAAAATCAAAGGCTGAGCTTAGCCAGGGTCATGCTCGCATTCCAGACAGTCAAGGATTTTTCTCTAAGCGGTGGCCACCTCTCTGTCCCTCTGCTGCCGGGAGTTGTGCTTCCTGACACTGTAGCAGAAACTGCCCAGCTCCCAAGAAAGTTATTCTTTTCTGTGAGGGTTCATAGCTTCCCTTCATAGCGTAGTTTAGTTACATTACGAGGGAAACAGAGGGCTTGTTGAGTAATTCACAGTAACACGTGATAAGGTTTTGTATGTAGAATTAGTTCAAGTTCCTAACAACGAACTCTGGAAACAACCCGTTTTAATTTGCAGACGGGGACTGCAGCTTTTCTCCCGCAACGCCTTGCTCGTTTGCTGTGCTCAGTCCTCTTAAGAGCTCCAGTCTCCAACCAGACTCCCTGGTCCACCACTTCCTCCCAATGTGACCTTAAGCAACTTACCTAACCTCTCTATGCCTCTGTTTTCTCATATATAAAATGTGGACAATGATAGTAATTTGTCACAAGGTTGTCGTAGAGTTCCAGTGTGCTCCAGGCAGAGCCCCTAGTCGGTACTGAATCAATACTGAATGAGTGATTCCGCGGTCTCGTTGAACAGTTTGCGTCTTTCCTAGCAAATCTCGGTTGGTCGGTCGTGGGTGTGCTGAGGGCTCCAGGTAGCAATCGGGTTAGCTCTCCAGGGCAAACCCAGAAGCCATGGCCCACTCCAGGAGTGACTTCACTCTGCCCTGACCGCAGGCCACCACACCTCTGTCCCCAGTCAGCCACCTGGCTCATACCGCCCTGGGCTAATGGCAACCCGGACTAGGAAATGTTCAGAGCGGGCTCACAGCACAGCGCATTTCTATCGGGAGAAGACAGACCAGATCTGCTTCCCGGCCACCGCCCTCCAGGCCCGTCTGCTGGAGCTCCAACGCCTAGCCTCTCCTGGCCAGATACCACACGGGGATGAGAAGGGGCTCACGGATTGGTAGCCCCTCCTTTGGGACATGAGCTTTTTGTTAGTAGGACAGGATCCTGGGGCACGAATGACAGTTTCAGCCTCTTTGGCCCGATGCAAGGCCACGGAGACCCAGCCTGGAAACTTCCGGCTTGGCCCTTCTTTATGCTGCTGCCCTAAGTGCGGACTTCAGGTTCCTGAAGGAGAGAGGGTGGGGTGCAGATGAGGGCTGACGATTCAGATGTGGAGATAGCGAAGTTGAGGCCCAAAGAGGAAAATGCTTGGGAAACACTCACAGCCCAGAGAGAGGAGGAAGAGAGGCCGGTGACAAAGAAGTGTCTGACAGGGAAGCAGAGTTAGGACAGCATTGCGCTGGCTTCTCAAACCATCTGGAGGGCCCGTGTGCTGCCGTTTCCAATCCTTTGCCGGACAAAACTATTGTAAAATATAATAAAAAAGAATTATCAGACAAACGAAATGAAAAAAGACAACACAAGCTTCTGTTTAAAAAAAATTGTTCCGTCAAATTGCTTGAAAAGTTTCTAAACATTTACTCTCAATATCTGTACTTATCAAGGACCAGTAGCAAACACAAGGCACACCAGCCCCTGCCCATAAATTGCACTTTGAGCACAGCTGCCTTACACTGTAGAGACCAAGAGGCGTCATGTAAAAAAAAAAGGACCAAGAAGGTGGTTAGGTTTTACCAGAAATTCACTGGCGACCTTTGGGGGACAGTTTCAGAAAGGAATGCGAGCAGATGCCAGGCCGAGAGGGTCAAGGAGAGAGAAGCCGTGAGGGGCGGTGAACTAGTTACGTAGGCAGTCAGGAGGTGTCCCCGCTCCTCCCTGTGCCCCTTAGAAATGCTGGCCAGCGAGGTGAGAAAAGCAGCGCTACCACGGTCATTGTTTCAGCTGAAAGTTTTCCTAGAGGAAACCTCTGCATATTTAAAGAAAGAAAGGAAGGAGCTAGTAGAGGAAAATATTTAAAATGCAAGAAATCCCCAAAGTTTGGAAAGCAGACAAATGGCCTCTGCCTGGTTCTGCCATCTCGTGGCTTTAATGCGTGACTTTCTCATCGAGGCCTTCCTGGTGCACCCATGATCTACCCACCTGAGCCCTCCTCGGTAGTCTTGCTTGCATCGACCGGTTCTCTTCCATCATTGAACTTAACCCAGTTTATCATCCTTTTCGTGTGTGAGCCACCTGATGTCTGTCTTCCTCCCTAGAACACAAGCTCTATGAGGCAGGGACACTGTTTTAGTCACACTCCTTATTTATCAAACCCCGAGCACAGTGCCTCCCACACAGTAAATGCTCAATGTAAAACATTCGCCACGTAAGTAATTAATAGTACCACAACAGTAATAGTGATAGCTAACATTTGTTGAGTGCTTGTTAGGTGCTAAAGACTGTATAAATATTCCCTTTTCTATTCTTCAGACAATACTGTGAGATAATCACCATTTTACAAATCAGGACACTGAGTTTCAGCCCAGTTAAGTGGTTCGTCCAAGTTTGTGAATAAAAGATCCCAGATCTGTATCCAGGTCCCGTTTAATCCTGGAGCCACCAGTGAGGCACCTTCCCCAGGGGCCAGAGAGAGACCAGAAGTGCAGGTGAAGAAACCGAGACACTGCATTTCTAAGTAGTCAGCTACAGATCACCACCTAGGGTGCTAGCATGTGAAGAACACTGTGCTAGACACCGACGATGAAAATAAGAGAGAAGAGTGGTGATTCCTGAGCCCTAGGGGGGCTGTGACCATCTGGACTCTGTCCACTGAGGGGTGAAGGGCCAGGAGCAAGTCCAAGCCAGCTGGGGGGTGTGCTCCATTCAGTGTGGAGGGACCGCATTTTCACGTAAGTTCCATTCAAGGAAGGACCAAGTGTGTTGAGCAGAGGTTCTGGACAGATCTGCTTGGGAGTAGAAGGTGAGCTTCCAGAGCCTGAGTGGGCCGGGCTGTTCTGCTCCGACTGGGAAAAAAATCTGGGTTACTTTGGAGAAGGAGAGGGAGGGAGAAGAAAACGGACAGAGGTGGAGTGAACCTGTGAGGCAGCTGATGTTTTGTATGTTGCACAATATGACCCATCTCATCACCTCCCAAGTATTCAGTAAAATTACAAAAATCATAGAAACTCTAGGTGAGCGGCTGTGTATGAGCGTGTGTGAGATAGTTGGAGAAGGGGCTAGACCTCGCCTTACGATGAACACCATCGGAACAAGGAGTGCTGTGTGGATTCAGGGTGGGGAGGGGATGGTAGGAAGCCACAGAATGTGCCAGGCCACAGACAGAGACCCGGCCACGTTTGCACAGATCTTTAAGCGGGGGTTAGGTGGGATATCTCATGGCTCTAGATTTCATTCTGATGATAACTTCTTGGGTGAGAGAAAAGGGGAGGTTCCCAGGCCTCTGGCCTTCCCTGAACTGGCCATCACGGTTCTTTCTGGTTATTAATGTGTGTTCTGTAAATATGGGAGAGCATTTGAAAAGTCCGGAAAAGTAAAAGTGAGGAGAAGCCACAGGCCATCCCTCAGTCCTGAGATAGCAGCTGTATTTTTTCCTTCATTCCCTGCTTTTTGTTTTCTATGTATGTTTGTTTACAAAGTCGGGACTGTATTTTATATATATACTTTGCTATCTTTACTTGGCCTAGTAACACAAACATTCTTTCAAGTAAAAGCCACATCTCACATTTGAAGATTTTTATATCTGCTTACAAAACCTAGAGTTGATTTCAGTAATAGAGATTTTCTCAAGGAAAAAGAAAAATTTTTTTTTGTATGTATTCCCTGGACCAGCCTAATTTGATTTGAGTTCTTGTTTTTTTCTCCCATGTGGTACAACCCAGAAAGTCCTATGAGTTTGAAGACTTACTGCAGTCTTCTGCTGAGAACAGCAGGGTCGACTGGTATGCACAGACTAAGCTGGGGCTCACGCGCACTTTATCGGAGGAGAACGTCTACGAAGACATTCTGGGTAAGAGGCAAAATGTGTTGGGGCACAGGTCTGCCTGTGAGAAAGGGGAGGGAGGACATGGGCTGGCCGCTTCCCCCCACACACATACACACACATAAACACTTGAAGACATACATGTACTCAAGTGAATGAGAGAGCAGGTAGGTGAGTGGAAGGTGAAAATGGGGTCAGAGGGGAGAGGAAGGGCTGGGGACAAACAGCTATGGAAGCGGCATGGTGCAGTGGGAAGCACTTGAGACCTGGAGCCTCAATATGCGTGATCGAATCTTGGCCCTGCTACTTATTCGCTGCATGACATCGAGCTGGCGACTTAACGTCTCTGAACTCCAATTCTCTCATCTTATGCTAAGGATGACGGCAGCTACCTTACAGGGTTGTCTGGGGACTGGAGAAGGTGGTACGTAAAGTACCTGGCTTATAAGTGATGCACAGTAAGTTTAGGGGTTACCGAATGAAAGAAAACTAAAGACCGCCATACTCTTTCTGAAACAACAGGAGCGTGGCAATCACAGAGCATCCAAATGCAGACTAAAGTGAGTGTCTGCTATTAAAACAGTAGCTTTAGCCTCGTTCTGAAGAATTCTTTCAGATTCCACAGTGTGGCTCAGATTCAGAGTGAGTTTGCGTTTAAATTCAGTAAGTTAAGTAATCTTAGAGAAAATCACAGTTTCGATTTGTGAGCTCAGACTAGCATCTGCGTGTTGGGGGTGGAGGTGGGGGAGGGGGGAAAAAGGAGCTGGTAAGAGGGGGAGACCCATACGTATCTACATGCAAGGAGCAGGTAGGGCAGGTACACACCTGCATACGGGCATGTAATCATCGATTCCAGGAAAACTCCATGGTCGGTGGACACACGAGCATGGAGGAACGTACTTAGCTGAGCTGTTCGCATTGCACCATACACTGTTTGAACTTCCATGTCCAAGCTGGGGAGACGAATCCTGCCCAAGCGGCAGGCTCCTCAAACCCCAGGCAGGGATGAGATCTGGACTTAGCAGTGTGTGCCTGACAGGGGAGCTCTCATTCACGAGGAACAGAAAACCCGGCTGAAGCAGTTAAGGGGCTTGATTGGCTCCTGTGACTAGACTGGCTTTTTCTTCCTTGTTTCTTATACCTCAGGTTAGCTCCATTCTCAGCAGGTTTCCCTGGTCCCCACGATGCTGCCATCAGCTCCCTGGAGCGGGGTTCTGTCTGTGTCCTGCAAGTCCCAGCAACAGTCCCGAGGTTCACTCTGGCTACAGCAGTTTAGGTCCCGTGCCCACCTTCCGAGCCCAGGGATACCACGCGGTGACTGGCCTAGATTTGGGATTCTGAGCCTTCCCGGAACTGGTCGCTGAGGCAGGGACTCGGGGAACTCTGAATGGCTAAAACCCTGAAAGCCAAGTGCATCTAAGAACGGGAGACAGGGTTGGGTTGGGGGGAGTTCCCCAGTGGGGATCGGGTCTGGTACCAAGAGAAAGGACGAATGGATGGCGAGACATCAGACATCCCCACAGGAGAGGCTAGGGTATTGGGCTGATCCGACAAGGAAGACCTGCTCAGTGTTCCCAGTTCCTGACCAGTTACTTCTGACCACAGATCCGCCAATGAAGGAAAACCCTTATGAGGACGTTGAATTACATGGCCGCTGCCTGGGGAAGAAGTGTGTCTTGAACTTTCCTGGCTCTCCCACCCCTTCCATCCCTGACACACCCACCAAGGTATGAGCCCCCCAGAGAAGTGTTGGGGGAGGGGGGCGAGGGATCCCCAGCACCATGACCCGAGCAGCCTGGAGTTCTGGGTTACACGGGAACGCTGGGCCATGCGCACAGAGGCTCCAGGTCTGTACCTTAGCTGCCTGCCTGCGCTTCCCGCCTCTGGTGCTCCTGGAACTCCGCTCCACGAAGCTGCCTCAAGTATCATTGTCACATCTGCTGGATGGGGAACCTCCCCAACTGGGTAAATAACGTGTCGTACAGCCATGCTATACAGCCATTAGGTAGAATGTCCTGACGTAAAACAAACTCTCAAGTATAGACCTGAAAGGCATGGGGCAGAAGCAGTATTTTTACAGTACACCGCCACGTGTGGGGTTTTTCAGTGGAAGAATATGCATCACGTAATTTCACCTGTTTGCACATGGTGAAGAAGATTTCTGTAGGGATTCCTAAGAATGCGTCAGTGGGTACCTCTGCGGAGTTGTTGAGTGCCTGAGTACCTGGAGGTCAGGGTAGAGACTGGCATTTTTTACAGAATATCCTTTTGAACCTTTCGGAATTATGTACATATGGATAATATAACTATATTCACGTACATGATCATTTCAACCCTTTGCCTGTAGGACTGAATTCATTCCTTAGCAGGGCATTCCTCTTCCTTCATAATTGATCCCCGAGCACCCATTACTACCTAGTTCCCCACAGCTCCCACCTACAGAAAGCTCCCCTCCAGTGAGAGCCTGCTGACGGCCTCTCTGATAGCACAGGCCCAGGATCAGCAGACCTTTTCTCTAAAGAGCCAGAGAGCAAACATATAACCTTTGCTGTAAGTACTCAGCGCTGCCATCGTGGTACAAAGCAGCCGCAGACAATGTGCAAACAAATAAGTGTTGCTGTGTTTCAATAGAACTCTATTTATGGATACTGTATTTTGAATTTTATATAATTTTCACCTGTCGTAGAATATTTTTCAGCCATTTAAAGATGTAGGAACTATTCTTAACTCATGGCCTATACAAAAACAGGTGGTGGGCCTGACATGGCCCAAAGGTCGTAATTTGCCCACCCCTGTGTTAGCTCATTTCTACCTCTGCTTTGACTCTCGCCTGGACCTCCCTCTTCCCATTCTTTAGGGCTCAGCTCAATCATGTCTCCTTCAGAAAGCTTCCAGGCCGTCCCAGGCCCGGGACCTCTTCCCCTCCGCCTGCCTATAACACTCAGTGGGCTAAAGCATTCATTTCACACCAAATTGTATGTACTGCCTATGACATCTCTTACTCTGGTGATGTAAATTCTGATTTAAGTCATATAATATATCTTAGAAACATCTCCCCAACTAGACTGAAATTCCTCAAGGTCAGAAAATATATATTCTATTTCTTTGTGTCTCCCATAAGTAGTTGTTATACAATGTTTAGGTATTGAAGACATTAAATAAAGGCCAAATCCAGGCTGTGTCAGTTTAAATCCCATAGCAAAGGCCTAAGAAACCATCTTCCTGTCTGGGCACCTGTGAGGTCAGCACTTGCTGGCGGGTGGCTGGAGTCTGTCTGCACACGAGGCACCCCTTTGTGCTTGACAGTCACAAAAGGAAGCTTTCTGCCACCAGTCTTCCTGAAGAGAATTGAAGGCAGAACCTATCGTGAAGGGTGGATCTTACAGACCCAAATCAATTGCTGTAATACTTGCCAAAACCAATTAATTGTTCTTTTCTCCTCCTGTGGAAAGGAGTATCATCATGAATAATTCATGACAACTGATGATTAACAGTTTCTACTTGCGTTTGAAATGTATTTTTTGTGTTTTCATTGGAATATGGAAAATGTCTTCAACATTTAGGAAATCCTTCATTTCCCATAGTGGGTAAGCCTGGCTTAGAAGAAGGGAGGGTGCACCCCGACTCAGCCCTCTTGTTCTACTCAGCTCTACTCCACTCTCCACTCCACGTGAGGAGTGAACTACATCTTACAAAGGAAAACGTGAGCCTACGGTAGCTCTGCATTCAGAGCTGGTGCTGCTCCCTAATACTAGAGGAGAAAGGCCTGGCCCTTTTTGTCTCCATCCTGCCAGGCTAGGAAGAAACTAAATCCTCTGTCCCCCAGACAGCTAAACAAGCAGGTAGTCATGTCAACGAAAATTTCAAGTCCAGCTGCCCAACACGCAGGACTGGTCGCCACTGATCGTTCACACTCGCTCCGCTGCCCTCCCACATCTGGGTGTGTGGTTTGTTCCCCCGTTCTGGGGGACAGCTGCAGACTTTCCTACTCTCTCCATTTAGTTCTTCAAATATTCATGGAGCCTCTGCCACATCTGGGCTGCATCTGGGACCTTGGAACTTACTGGAGCAGTCCCTCTGTGGCGACCTCCTCTACCAGCCACAGATAGGTCCTAAGAGACCTTTGGGGATTTTCACTTAATTAGATCCTGCCTCGTTCCAGTAGAGAGGAAAAGGTCAGCTGGACAGACTTGCCTCGGAGAGAAACAGACGTGCAGCTGGGGGCGACACTACCGCTTACAAACCCACAGTGCGAGGCCCTGACACAAGACCGTGCTGCCCTTGCTGGGTGCTACCAGCATCCCCACCCCTTGAATGGCACACCAAGTACGGTGGGAACTGATTTTTATAATAAAAGACATCTCTGCTAATATAAGATGCTCTTTTTTACTTATCGATACTTAAGAGGAAAAATGTATCGCTGACATTCTCTGCTGGCCTAGATAGATCACACGCACCATCTCCCACCAACAAAGCAGACATCACTTAGCCATAGCTCTGAGAGGCAGTGTCCACTCCCCTGTGCAGGTTCCAGAGCCCAACTGCCTCCATTCAGAACTGGCCTGGGCCACTTGTTAGCTCTATGACTTTGGGCAAATGATCTCATCTACGTGCATCAGTTTCTTCACTGTTAAAATAGGACCGATTGTAGTATACTCCTTTTAAGGGGTCTTATGAAAATTAATGAAATTCATACTTATAGACCATTTAGACTAGCGCTTGCAACAGCAGTACTATTTACGTTTGCTAAATATATAGAATTATGCTTTTCAGTAAATGTTCTTTTAAAAAATTAACCTTATTTTCTGAAAATAGAAATACATTTTCATTGTAAAAAATTTAAGAATACTGAAAAGTATACTGAAGAAAATAAAACTCATCTGTAATAGGGGATTTTTGTTTTTTCTTTATGCTCACTTACATTTTCTTTTTGTATAATAGATTATTATGTGTATGTATATATACGCTTATATTTTTTCAGGTCTTTTTTTAAAAAATTGCATGTAATCCCAACACCCAGAGATAACCACTGCTAATACTTTGGTTTATTTCCTTCCAGATTATCTCACATTGCCTGTGCATGTGTACATTTAAAAGAAAGACTTGGGATTATGTTGTATAAACAGTTTACTGCTCTTTATGCATATTCATCATTAAGTATGTCCCCATATTATTAATTTGTTTTTAAAAACAATTTTCATTGCCTAGATGATGTTTCATAATTTTAAGGTAATGTCATTAACTTCGCGTAAAGTCCCAGTTGTTGGAATGTGCATGTATGCCTTTCCATGTGTTTCTATGTATGTATATTTAAGGGAGTGTTTATGTATTCATGTGAATATGAGTACCCGTGGGCATATATGAACAAATGTGTATGTCTGTGTGAATGACATCTGAGCACGTCTTGGGAGGAGGCCTCTGTGAAAGAAAATAGGAATGAGGTTGCAATAGAGGTAAGGAGGAGATGGGAGATTTTACATCAAGGATCCTTCTAGTCTCCTGCCATCAGTGTGTCCTGAGGCAGTGAGATAGGGACAACAGAGGGCAGGAAGGAGTTAAACCATTAGCCGCCATTCACAGACAAGAAGGGTGAATGAACCCTGGCTTGAGTCCAGGTCAGCTCCCTCTGGGGCTGCACACAGCTTCCTTGCAGCCCCCTCCTCCCCACGGAGATGCCCCCTGGCCAGGGCCCATCACTCTTGGTCTCTTGAAACAACTCAAGAGATTTCAAAAGAGGGTCCTTTTCTGTTTTTCCCTTTTGGACACTACATATCTTTTGTTGGGTATGAGTCCAGAATCTATAAGATTAGGGAGAAGTCTGTGTGCCCCTGTGACAGAGCCAGTCCCCTCCATTGAGTTTACTCCAAAGAAACACAGTGGGGTAGACATGTTATCATCAGGGCATGTTGGTGTGAGGCTCTCCCATCAAAAGCTGGAGTCTTCACTGGACCACAGTCTGACACAATCATCCTTGGGGTCTTAGACAATGGATTCTCTTTTCTACTATAGTTCAGGTTTGGCAAACTACTGCTGGTCACTTGGTTTTGTAAATAAAGTTTTATTGGAATACAACCATGCTGACTCGTTTACATATTATCTGTGGCTGCTCTTGCATTCTAGTGGCATAGATGAGTAGTTCTGACAGAGACAATATGGCCCACAAAGTCTAAACAATTTACTCTCTGGCTTTAAAAAAAAGTTTGCTGACCCTGCTAAGTCCAAACTTGTACCCTCTCTTTCAAAGGCCTTCCACAGACAATTCGATGTCTTTACTGTTTTGTCATCTCTTCCATCTGTTTCACGGCACTCGCTCTAATCCATGAAGACTTTCTTTATATCTCATTTGCTCTTTCTCACCTCTGTTCTCAGATTGTGCTATATACTTGATAATACTCTCTCCATAGCCCACTAAGTCCTCTTTCTATCAGTTAAGTTGCTACTGAAATTCCACACCCTCATGAAATCTCCCTGGACATTTGGTGGCTTATTTGGGGGCGTTCTAGGACACGCTGGGGCCCTTTTCTCCAGCAGTGTGACCACTGGTAGATGCAGCCCACACACAACCTCCACCAGTTCTAGACACCTGTTAAAACGTTGTGTGTTTTGATTCCTTTCTGTTTTCTTTCTTCTTAGACTTTTTCATAAGTCAGATCTTTGAACAGACATTATCACAACCTAAATCTCTAGTGAAAACAGATACCTGCTTTTTGCCAATAATTCAATATGGGATTCCAATGCAGTGAAAGAGTTGGGACCATTTCCTTGGGTTTCATTGCAGATGAAATGTGGTTTTTAAGAAGACTTATGATTATTCCTTCTTCTTGTGCTTGTTTAGTTATTAAAATGCCTGTAGTGAGCAAACCAGGTGGTCTCTTCCTCTGCTCAGGGCTTGCAGCATTAAGCAATTAATTGTTCCCTGAAGACCATGTCAAAACAGGGGAGCAGGCCACTGAGGAAGGCTACGCGTCTTATTCCAAAAATCTTCAGAAAAAAAAAAAAGGTTCTGGAGTTATTGTTACTATTTGGAACCAAATAAGAATGGAGAAATCAATGGAACAAAATAAGCCTATTCTATGAGAGTTTAAAGTATGATAAATGTGGGCTTATAAAATCATAGAAAAATCATTCATTAAAGGAATAGGGATAAGTTAGCTTAGAGGAGAAATCAATTTAGACTAACAAACAATAAAATAAATTTGTGATGGATTAATGAATAAATTATGTTCAAAATAAGCTAAGAAAATCCAGAAGAAAATGGAATTAAATATTTATTAAACCTCTAAAAAGATATAGATTTTTCTAGGCAAAGATTAATCACTCACAAAGGAAAGATGAACAAATTTTTTATATAAAAATGTTATGTGAAAAATTCCACATAACCAAAATAGAAATACAAACAAACCACATGGAAAAAATACACTTGCAGCAAAACTAAGAGTTAATATCTGATATGTAGAGAGAGTACCTCCAAATTAATAAGAAAAACACTAGGATCCCAAAAGATAAATAGGCAAAGAACCTAAACAATACACTTAGGAAAAATGCAATTAGCACATTAAAGTATAAAAAAGTGTCATGCCATAGAGGAAGGAAAAGAAATAACTTATATGGAATGCCTGTTACCTATTAGGCACTGTTACATGCTGTATATGCTTTATCTCTTCTAATTCATTAATTAATTTTTTAAAAGACTTTGCAGATATATAGTATCCTAAAATGTGAATCTTGGAAGTACCTTTAGAAAACGTGTAGTCAAAGTAGATTTTTAATTTTTTTATTACTATTTCTTATTTTAGTGAATAGTTAATCATTCATATGGTTCAAAATTTAAGAAGTATACAATGTAAAGTCTTCATTTTGCCTCAATCCCTCTATTTCTGTCCCACAGAGCAACCACTGTTAGCTTTTTGTGTATCCTTCCATAACTATTCCGTGGATATACCAGAATAGCTCCTTAAAACACACACACAAACACACACGGCTGTCAGCAAACTATACCAACTATTGTACACCTTGCTTTTTTGCTTAACGATACATGTCTGAGAGAACCTTCATATCAGTACATTAAGATTTTTTTATGCCTGCATTGTAGTCCACTATATGGACAAAAACTTATTTGATGAGCCTCTATTGATGTACATTTAAGTTGTTTTCAGTATTTTGTGTTTGCAATATGCTTTGCCCAGTATAACTTTCCTTGTACAATACATCTTAGCACGAGTGTGAGCATATCAGGAGGGCAGATTCCTAGAAGCAGAATTGCTAGGTGAAAGGGTATACCCATTTGTAATTTTATTGATAGATTACCCTCCATAGAGTTGTACCAATTTCCGACCCCACCAACAGTGTATAGAAGTGTGAAAGTGACTGTTTTCTTCACTTTCATCAATACAATTTGTCAGTTTTTTTATCTTTGTTAATCTTTGAGTGAGAAATGTTTCTTCAATAGAGTTTAAATTTTCCTTTCTCTTACAGTGTAGCTAAGACCTTTTTTATATATATATTTAAGAATCATCGTATTTCCTTTCTACAAACTTTCATTCTTTTGCCTGTTTTTCTTTTGGATTGTCGATCTTCTCATTTATTTGTAGTCTGTATTAGAAAAATGAGCTCTATAAGTTCCATTTTTTTTTTTTAACCACTTTTTTGTTTGCCTTTTGACCTTAAAGCAGCTCATTTTTAGAAATAAGACACTGAGGACCAGAGAAGTGAAATTCCTTGGATAGGAGACACTCAGCTTGCCAGTGGCAGAGTTAGAGCCAGACTTAGGTCTTGTAAGTCCCAGTGCAGCGTGTCTTGAATTGTCTTGGATGAGTCGGGATGTCTCATCTGTAAAGCTAAGGGATTGAGCCAGGCGAGTTCCCACTTGTCTAAAAAGTGAGACTGAATTAGATCTGTGTTTTTATATCATACTAATTTTCCATAATTGGGTGATAAGCATTTATTGAGCACTTACTAGCATAGACAAATCCATTGTAGTCTGAGGACATACTCTGGGTAGCTTCCCTCCTCCACCTCAAGTGGTCTCCGTCACTGGCACCCCCTGTGATCTCCCAGTAAGTCCTTTTCGTATTAATGTACCTTCTTTTCTCCTTTCCCTGCACAGCAGCCATTGTCCAAACCTGCTTTTTTCCGGCAAAATTCAGAGAGGAGGAACTTCAAACTGCTGGACACTAGGAAGCTGAGTCGGGATGGAACTGGGTCCCCTTCCAAAACCAGTCCCCCCTCCACCCCCAGCAGTCCTGACGACACTTTCTTTAACCTTGGAGATCTGCAGAATGGCCGGAAGAAGAGAAAGCTACCCAAGGTAAGGCCTGCAACTAGCTTTGTGTTCAGAAATGCACCCCCCGCATCTTTCCCTGCAGAGGAGTCTGGGCAGAGGACAAATACCTGCTTTGTCACAGGCCAGGTGGGCATGGTGTAGCCTGCAGGCTGGGATGTGTGGGCCTTTGCCATAATAATTCTTGTGGTCCTGTAGCCTTCCTCTTAACCATCCTTCTCTTTGCCTTAACTACTCTTCTGACCCTGGACAGTGTTTCCAGTACCCAGCCTCAAAAGGCCACATCCTCCTCCTTCATGGCCTGAGAAAGTCGATCCATCCACCAGGCTCTGACTCAGGCTCCACCAGCACCCGCTGCAGAGGCAGCATCGTGCGAGGCCTGTGCTCGAGGCAGCACTTGTCAACAGTACACCTTCCCTGGCTCTCCTCAGTCCAAAGGGTAAAACACTCCCAGTGGCTTGGATGTGCATCCTCATGTGTCCGCTACTGATTAAATTTCCTTTTGCTCACTTTCAACCCCGAAGTGCTGGTCACTCTCTATTGTCCATTTTGGTACCAACTTTCTACAGGAACTTTTAGAACAGGAATTCTTAATTTCAGAGGCCAGGGGTAGGCTTTAGAGGATCACAAAACCCATAAAATTGTGTGAAACTTTGTGTGGGTGAGTTCTGGGAGGTGGGGGTGGGATTGGGGATTGTCTGTAGATTTCACTGGATTTCTCAAAGTGACCCATCGACCTAAAAGAAAGTCAGGGGACATCTTCACAAGCTGGTCCCTCCTGATGCAGTTTGGTTACTCAGCATTTTGAGCTGTAACTTCACCCAATCACCCCTGCCTTCAACATTCTTATTCTAGTGAAGATAAGTCACCTTGGCCATCAGAGTGCATTCTGAAGAGTAAGGGTCAGGTGCTGGACAAAGTTCTAACGTCTGCAGACTGGCGACAGGGGTTTTAGGCGGAAGAGGGGGAAGATGCCATGCTTTGTCTTGTCGATGGAGGGCAGAGAGAGGGGCCACAGTAGGAGCCTCACTTGTCCCCTTCAAGCCCTCCTGGTCCTGCCCAGCCCTGCCTAGGGCACAGTACAGGCTGCATATGGTTTGATCAGTTTTCTGAAGGAATTCCCTCTGACGCACGGACCCCTGTCTCATTCAGCCCGGGCAGAGTCTCTCCCATGTCTCCCCTTGACTGCCTTCTAGTCGCTGTCCTGTGCTGTCATGATAGCTGCTCATGGGACCCCCAAGCGTGGGATCTGGAGCCACTCCATTAACTCCCCTTCTGCTTGTTCTGGCACGATTTATACATACTGTTGTTGTCAGAAACCTGCAATTGTGGAATAATTAAAAGCGGCTATCAACACCTGTACAACCTCATGATTATCTTAGCAAATTAAATAGGACTAATAAAATGAGTTAGCTGTTAGGATAGAGCTTTGATACAACTCCAGGTTTGAGTCGCCATCTCTCGATAAGCACTCCCTCGCCTGCCCCCATGCCTTTACCCATCGCTTCCCCCATATACTATTTTAAT